ATGTGCATAAGAGAGAGTTTTATATCAAGGAGTAATTGTACATGAAGAAAACATGCCAGCCCAATCCAGATCAAGTCCATAAGTCCAATATTAGCCCATATGTCTGATACCAATCTATAAAGTCCTCTTAAGACTCACAAAACACATGCAATGATGCTAAATGCAGGAAGATCATATGCCAGTGGGTGGGAAGTCTTGTGGATCCAGTGGCGTTGTAAGCATCTCAGCACTGGCAGGGATCTCCACATGGCTTCTCTGGCTCCAGAGGTCACAGGCTATATCAGCATAGTGCCATGTATCTTGTCAAGGGAGTGTCTCTCAGGAAGTGAGTAGAAAGAGAGAGTGTTTTGTGCCTCTAAGGAGGAATACTGGGGTTTCCAGAATTCCCAAGGGAAGGCCATACCCACACAGAGGCCTCATTGGCTATCACCCAATTGACAGACTAGACCCCACCCCTTCATTCATAATCCTCTCAAATTGACAAATGATTATATAACTACTACAAATGGTATTCTTTGAGACCCTCCGGTGACGAGTTTGCATGTGCATCTGAGAAGCACCTTTAGACATTAACTAATAACGTGAAAACAACAGTCATTTAGGTCAGTGGTTGGCAGTCTCCATTCCACGTGCAGGGACACTACAGGGCCGGTTTCAGGAGCAGAATGAATTGGCTCCCACCCACAGAACCTCATCCTATAAACTCAGGAGCTAAAAACCTCACATCTTCACCATCTAACAAGAGAAAGGAGGGGTCATACCATCCCCGGGGGGTGGACTGTGTGCCTCCGTTCTGAGCTCCATTGTTGGTTTCTTTTGATTCATTTTCAGCTCATCGGACCCTATGTTCAATAAAGCGATTGGATCTTTGCAAGAATCGGCTTCTTGGGCAGGGAATGTTTGATACCTTCTTGATCTTTATTTGCTTGAGACTATTTTTTTTAAAACAACTTTGATTACAACTTTTAACAGTTTTATTGGCATATAGTTCATATATAATACAATTCAACCACATCAAGAAGAGATGTACAATCATTACTACAATTAATTTTAGAACATTTTTCTTCGTTCTTGTACTCATCGTTAATGGTTTCCCATTCCCCTCCTGTAACCTGCCTTGCCATACCCCCAAGGAACCATCAGTTATCCAGTTACACTCTCGATAGATGTACCAATCCTGGATTTCACATGCAGAAAAAAAATTCAAAACAAACAATAACAAAGTAAACCAAAGACCTTAATTAAAAGGAAAGTAGAAAGTGCTAAAAACGAGAATAAATTTAGCATGGATCAAAAGGGAGATAGAATGATAAGGCATTAAATTTTACTCTATCTGTATCTGCAAGAATCCACTTTGCAGGGCATCCTGCGTGACAGCAAAGCTAGTCACATCCCTTGAGACCATTTCTGAGGCTGTTGTGTCACTTCATCCTATGGAGGGTTTCCCTTCTTTGTGGTGACCCATGCTTTATCAGCTGATGTCCTTTCCCCAGCAATAGAGCTATGCTGATGAAATGGCCAATGCAGATCAGTCAAAAGTCTTGCCATTTTTGCTAAGGAGCATTCTGGTTATATTGCTTTTCTTCTAGGGTAGACTTGATCATTCTTGAGGTAGTCCCTGATCTAGTCTATATTTATCAGCAGCGCAGTCAGACTGCATCGTGTCCTCTGCTCTCTTCAGTTTTCATCACCCAGCTCTTGCATGCCTATGAAGCAATTGAAAAGTTCTGGGCTTGGGCTACCTAACCACCTCTTAGTCAAAGTGATACCTGGATCTTTGCTGAACCAAATCACCAGTCTCACCGAGAAGATCCAGTCTCACTTTCTCTTGTTTCTGAATTCCTCTAAAGGTCCACTGACCCTGGGGCCTCTGGGTGTGAGACTGACTTGCCAGTAGTACCAACCTCCCACCCCTGGTGCTTGGTCCTCTGGGTCTTTCAAGGCAGAGAGCAGTTTTCTCGGCACACATCAGGCTGCACAGAAGTCAAGGAATGGCTTA